ATCCTACCCCTTGGAATACTAGACCCTGGGATAATCTCTATCGCGTGGACGACCTCCCTCGCAACAACCCCTGTTGGCTCTTCAAATAGATCAGGGTACTTAGCAACTACTCCCTCTATCGCTGGCGGCATTTTCACCGGCTCGCCTGCAGCAGAGACATAAACTAAGTACATACCCTCCTCCTGATTTTGCTTATAATAATTATAGAATGCGGCCGCACACATGCACTTATAGGACTCAATCAGACTATTAGCTTTGAACTTATGTAATATGGCGGTCTCTCCACCTAACAACGTGTGTTTGACCACTTTTCGGTCCCAGTCAAACTGGGGCTGTGCTACAGAGAGGTAGTACATACCTGGTAACATGTCCATTGGGAGATCGTCACCAGGAACGAGACACGATGTCTCAAGTCCCCTCCCGCGTACGGAAAAACACACTCTACATCATGGAGGTAGTCATTAACTACCATGCGCTGTTTGTTGGCACAGGTCGACTCCACAGGTCGACTTAGGCGCTGCACTTGCCCCTGTAAGCGCAGCCTCTCAACGCACGCGTGGCTCATAAAGTTCGTAGTCGAGCAAATGTCGTAATAGGCCCCAGCCTTGCGGGCTCCTATAACTACCTCATTGACAAACATTTCACTCTTAGGGGCTTTAACTAACGCCGTCCAAGAAGCTAGTGGATCTGATCTAGACCACTCATCGAACAGAGGGTCGATGGGTCTGAATGTGTTTGCGGGACGACTGAAGAGTTTGTAGCTTGGGCCATCTCTCGCGAAGGTGAGGGTGAATCCACCATCGCGACCCTAGTAGGAACAGCTACTATCCCTACTGGCCCGACGTGTTTCCCGGAGCACTGCCTGAAGAACTACCAACGTTGCTACTAACGGGTTGAAAGGATCCTACTCCCGACCCCATAGTGGGCGGGATCTTCTCGGTGACCTTCCTATTGTGGCACTTATACATGCTATGACCATATTGGCCACACTTGATACAAGCTTGCCGTGCCCACCGATCTCTCCACACGTCCTCAGCTAGACCCGCTTTCTCCCATGGAGGAGCATTGGGGTCTGTTTGACTCTTCGACCGGGATCCCCTAGGGCATCTATCGGTCCCTTTACTTTTTTGTTGGGTTACGGTGGCGACTACTCCACCCTCTGAAGTATCGCCACCTGCCTCTGCACCTACTCCCTCCTGGAGGTTGTCGTCCAACTCGATGGTTGAACCATCATTGTCGACAAACATTAAGCGACCCTTCGCCTTCGAGCTGAGAGGCAGTGTCTTCTTTCTCCCTTCCGTAGTGGGTGCTTGTCCATGCCCTATCTTTGCTTCTAGGTCTAGGGCCACCTCGCTGAACGAAGGAAAGTTGTGCATATTAATGTTGGTCTCTTTTGCCAACTGATTCCTGAGTGGCAGAGATAAGGTTCTCAGGTACGAAGTTAGCAGGACCTGGGGGTCATAGCGTACCCCTGGAACACAAATCAAACGCTCTACAGCGTCGGTGGCATCCCTTACTGACTTAAACTGCCGCGTGTGCAGTGTCAGGATCGCATCAGTGGCCTTTTGAGCCTCCTGCGGATCATGCCACCTGTCTTCCACCATTTTCAGGAAGTCCTCCAATTTTTGAGAGGCTGCCCAAGAGCAGAAGTCATGACCGTACCCCTGGAGTTGCACTAACCCACTCAACCATCTCGCTGCACTACACTCCAGGTAGGAAGCAGCCACAAGCACTTCTTCGTGTGGCAAGGTGAGTTTACACCTGACGTAGACCGGCACTGCCCTCAACCAAGTGTCGAGGTCTTCGCCTCTCTTGTCCCCTGTAAAAGGTTTGGGAGCGGCGATGGTCGTCTTTGGAACCCACTGACTTTGTCCCGGTCCCTGCACCAACCCGGGCTGTGGACCCGGCGATACAGGTTGTGGTGCTAGCTGCTGGGGCTGTATGCCCTGAGGTTGCACTAACTGCGAGACAGTAGGCTGCGTGGTGACTGCAACCTGTGACGGACTTGGAGTAAACACTGTCTGAACAGGAACCTGCAAACTACTCCCTGCTGTTACCCCTCCTGACAGAGGCATGCCCAGGGAAACGATAGCAACGGTTGAAGGGGCTATATATGGGGATACCCCAGTCACCGGTGGAACAGAAAGAGGAGGATATGGCACGGGCTAGGCAGCAGGCCCTGCTGGTGATGGTACTGCCTGACCACGGCCTGCCAAATGTCCTGAAGGATGGTAGTTTGATGCTCCTGCATCTCAATTACGCCTAGCAGGGCCCTCCTTACTACCTTCACATCATCATCCATATGCGTCAGGTCCATCATCTCTAACTCCTCTATGTCTGCCCCTCTCTGTTGCATCCTAGTTCTCCTTCTAATCATCATTTCCTTCTCTCTCTTTATCTGTCCTAATGCCTGCTGTAACTGTGCCTCTTGCAGGGCTGCCTGCTGGATGGCGACATCCTCTGGGGACAATACCGCGGGTTGGCTTGCCATTAAGCCAGTGGACTGACTCACGGTCTGCACGACCGTGGACCCGGCGGTACCTGAACTACCGGCCTGGGAAGTCTGCTGCGCAGACGTGTTAATGGTTGTGGTAGCCATGACTGCTATAGCACTGGCCTCGCTAGCAAAATGCCCTGTTGGCCTCGACTGCTCTAGCTCTCCTCTCCCTTTGTCGGCGGAACAGTTCCCTATCACCCTTCGGTCCTAAAGACACGTGGGATACCGGTCCTCTAGCCGATCGTAAGGTCCTGCGGTCGTCCTCTCCGGTGTCCTCCACGTCGCTCATAGGCTACAACACTGTGCACTGTCCACACTAGACTATTCTAGATGCCTACCGCAGCATAGTACACAGACCAACTAATTAGTGGTGGCTATTTTCAGAACAGATCTCATTTGGGGTCAACAGGTAAGTGAGGTTCCTACTGTCAATACTATTTTTAGTAAGATTAGTTCCCAAACAGAGAAAGCATCAGGAATAAATAATATTCTAAACTAATGTTGTCTGTCAGATGTCACATGGCTGTCCATCTAACTAATCAATAATAAAAAATAATGTTGACTGACCGGGTTTGTTCACAGTTTGGAATTTAAACCCGAACTTATCATCTGGAATTTACCCCTCCCTTTGTTCTTCTCAATGTCACGGTGTCATGTTTCTTTGCATCAGAAGCCAAGCGTGTCTCAAAGGTGTGCAATCCGGTCCCACCCCTGTGCCCCGGGTTATCGTCGAGCAAGGCAGCCACAACACTCTTATTTACCCTCATACGCCGACGAGCCTTCCACTCGGATGATCTGGCTGATCAAGAGGCAATTTAACGTCCACCCCCAAGTGATATCAGGAATTATTTTACGTCGCAGCAGGACGACGATCACAGCCAGATCAGAGCCGAGTCCCCAGCCAAAAATGTTTATAATGTTTATAGACGGTCTGGTATGCGTCTATAGAGGCTGCCACACTCGAGTTAACCCCTATCATGCGCAAGCAGCAGAACCAATGACTTGCAGCGAAGCATGCGTGTACTACACCCAGTGGGTTGGCATGGTGACCGTGACCCAGTGCTTCGTCCAGGGCCCTTCAAGAAGCTCCGCCCGTCTTCCCCCAGATGCTCCACGTGAACAATCACGACTCTCAAGGTTGAGCGCACACGACACCTCACGATGAGAGGACTCTCAAGACAGAACTCACAACGTCACGGTAAGAAGTGATGAAGAGGGTAGATAAGGTTAAGAGCAACGTACCTCGTTCATGCTGCCCCCAACCACAGAGATAATCTCACCAGATAACCTGAAGATGATTGCAATGACCAGTCATAGCATCGGCACAACCAGCATTTCGACGTTCCACCTCAGCCTCAATCAACCAACAGATAGTTCTCATCACACTGCGAACACCCAATATTTACACCTTAGCCTTCCAGGCGATGCCCCTCACCACCTGGGTCGCCTTCACACTCGTCTCCACCCTCCTCACTACACACCACTTACGGCCAAACTCTCCCAGCAGACCGCATGTATGTACCGTATAAGGCAGAAGACAAGCGCCAGATGAGCGCAATCGTACCACAGCTTGATACCAAATTGCAAGGAAGATGAGCATTAGCGAACTTCAGCAATCAAACAACATCATACATATGAGCCCAGATAGTCTTGGCCTCGAACCACAGCAGACTTGCATCACGAGATACACCAAATAAGAACACACCAAGAATTCAAAATTGACAATGCTGAAGTAGTCCCATCATCATCAACTACGAACCAGAGTTGATATCCTATTGGCGCTCRRCGCCCAGACTACAKGTGGCAGATCCTATCTAGCCTATACTACGAAGCAGAATGATGACATCAACAGCGTTCCCGAAGTACGAGCATATGGCGACCAATGTCGCACGCTTCAGCACCAGGTATGTCTCTCGTAACACTCACAATCCCGATCCACACCGCACAGATGCCACTAGCACCCCAAGGACCACCCTGCGCTTCACCTAGCATACAGCAGCACAGCTTGGCTATGGCTGTGTGCTCCCTCCTACTCGCCCGTGAGAGCGTGAGTGCCAGCCAGCCAGTGGATAGCGCAGCAACGCTCACGCAGCATGCAGCCAGCACCCGAATGCCCAATGAGGAGGCAGGCCCTTCCCTATATCGAAGTGGCCTGCCTGGGTCCAGTCCAGGAAGCTTCCGGTAGGCCCCGGTAGGCACAGGCCCAGTCAGGAAGAGAGCAGGCCTTGGGCCTGAAGTGGTTGCATGCGCCCAACTGCTTTCGGCCTGTGTTTGGCCCGGTACCCGTATCCAGCCTAGGGCCTGCTTCACATTCATTTACACAGGCGGCCCAGGGCCTGGATTCATTCAACCAACTGGCGCAACGCAACTGTCTGAATTTCCCCGATGCGGGGTACCCTGAAGAATGAGGCCCGAAGGGCCTGTCGTGCCTGCCTTCACTTAGGGCGGCCGACCTTGTTGCAGATAGGGCCCCGTAGGGGCTAAGCGGGCGTAGCCTCGCAAATGGATGGATCGAACCCGCTATAGGTCCATGGTCTTTTTCAGTAGTAATCCTGCCTAAAATGGCCGGAGGGATTCGCATTTGCATTGATTATCGAAAATTGAATGATATCACGATCAAGGATGTGTACCCCCTCCCCCGAATTGATGAGTTGTTGGATGCGATCGGGAGTGCTCGATTTTTCAGTAAGTTTGATGTTCGCCATGGTTTCCATCATCTTCTTGTCTGAGAAGAAGATCTCTTGAAAACGGCGTTTGTGTTTTTCGAGGGTACGTGGCAGTGGATTCGATTTCCGATGGGTATCTGCAACGCCCCCGCGACCTTTCAGCGAGCCATGAATATGGCTTTTCATAATTTCGTGTGAAAGACTCGTTTGGCGCAGAGCATCATCAACTACTGCGTGATTGTGTACATGGATGACATTCTGGTGTACTCGAGTTCCTACGAGGGATACGTGCAACACATCGAATGGGCTCTGCATGCGTTACTAGATGCGGGCTTCAAGGTGGCGCTTGAGAAATGCCAGTTTTTCCTTACCACCATTTTCTTCCTGGGACACGTGGTAACAGACAAGGGGCTCCAACCAGAGCCGCAGAAGGTGGCAGCTGTCAGAGATGCGCCGGTGCCTACGACTATCACGCAAGTTCGCGCCTTTTCGGGCCTGGCCTAGTACTACCGAAGATTTATCAAGGGCTTCGCGGCAATCGCGGGACCCCTTACGAATCTGTTGCGCAAAGATCAGCCGTTGATCTGGATGCCGGAGTGTGATCAAGCGTTTTCGAAACTCAAGGCCGCTCTCATTTCGGCTTCGGTCCTTATAAGACCGGATCCCGAAAAGCCTTTTGTTCTCATCACTGACTGGTAGCCAGAGACAATTTTGGCGATCCTTGCCCAAGTGGGACCAAGTGGACTCGAGAGCGTGGTGGAGTTTGCGTCCAAATCGGTGCCCGCCTGCAAGCGCAACTACGCCGCTCCAACGGGAGAATACTACGGGGCTCTCTGGGGAATCAGTCACTTTCGCGCTTACCTGTACGGGCGGAAGTTCACCTTGGTAACCGATCATGAGCCCCTGTTGGCCCTGAAGAAATCAAAGGATTACTCTGGCATGATCGGGCGACGGGCAACGGTGCAGCAGTGCATGGACTTCGACATTCGTCACCGGAAGCACGAGAGACATGGGAATGCGGACGGATTGACACGACTGCACCGGCCTGAGAAAGTTCCGAAGAATGAGGAGGTGATATCGTGGAATGAACCCGAACAGGATGTTGGACCTCGGTACGGCCAAGTGGTGATCTTGTTGAAGCAATAAGTGACACGAGGGCCAATTTGTCTGTTCTACCCTCTCCGCAATTCGGTCCCATCTCTCCTCCTCTGTCATCATGACTACCCCACCTGTCTCTGCAACCCCTTCCTCTCCTACTAATTTTGCCCCTCTCACTTCCTCAACTTTCTTTGCCACCCTCCCCGATAAATTCTGCTATTTTTGTACGTGTATTCCACGGGTTTATGGGGTCGATTGTCATCCTTTCGAAACCGGGTTTGTCGATTGGGTAGAATGTGCCACGTGTGTCAATCGTGCGCACAGGGCCTGCGTTCGATATCGGACAAGTAGCAAGGAATGGAGGTGCCCCCTGTGTAGAACAAACAAACTCCCCACTGAGGTTCGATTCGAGGCCGCCCGTACGGACGGCCCTGAATATGACGAAAAATACCGACGAGCAGAGATTTGGTCGGATAAAATTTTATTGGCGAAATTAGCGGGATTATCATTGGGACACCTTACCAAACACGACAGACATAGGGCAACCGAGAGATCTCGGGACTATCGGTGGATCAACGGTCATTTGGAGAAGCGTAAAACTGACGGATCAGGTTCGTGGTTGACGGTTCCCCATCCATTCCAGAGATATGATTGGATCCGATCGGCTCATGAAGAACATGCCGCTCATTTCGTGATACGTGTCACGGAGGCAAATATAGACCAGAACCGATGATTCTGGTCCAACATACGAGATGATGCCAGATACATTGTCGCCAACTGTCTGGTCTGTGCCGCTGATCGCGCCCCAATACGGGGACCAAACACGATAGTACCGACGGAAGTACAACACCCCTTCCAGCAAGTC